CTTTACCGAAGCTTTTGCGTATGCAGAGCATGTAGCATGGGCCGCAGATGTAAACAAATGGAGCGGAGCCTTGTGCGCGTGCGATGCGCCACAGCACGCAACGATAGTCAAGACGCGCTCTGGATCAAAGTATCAAAACAATGTTGTTATCTTAAAACCGTGCCACTAATGATCGTGGGACAAGGCTCCACTCCTCGTGCTCCGTGCTCAGCTCCAAAACGGCGGGTGACGTCAGAGGCGACCAAGAGGGGGGCGGGAGGTGGGAATCCCTCCTTTTAAAGGGGTCAGGTGGCACTTAATAGGCTGCCGGTGGATACGAGGGCCTACCGCCACACTAGTCAAAGTCACAAATGACTTACTACTAGCTGCTGATAATAGACAAGTGTCAGTGCTGGTCCTACTGGACCTTAGTGCTGCATTTGACACAATAGACCACAGCATTCTACTGCAGAGGCTAGAATGTGATATAGGTCTTAGAGGAACAGCCCTTGGCTGGTTTAAATCCTATTTATCAGATCGGTATCACTTCGTCAACGTAAATCAGAACTCGTCGCCTTATTCTGGAGTAGAATTCGGTGTGCCGCAGGGTTCGGTACTCGGACCGATTCTTTTTACTCTCTACATGCTGCCGTTAGGAAACATTATTAAAAAGCATGGAATTAATTTCCACTGCTATGCAGATGACACACAGCTTTATCTGTCGATAAAGCCAAATCAGACAGATCAGCTAGAAAAGCTCAGTGCCTGCATAAAGGACATTAAAAAAAAAAAGTTTGATAATTGTTAAATTAAGGTTTAGAGGTATTCAGTTACACTCTGGAGATTATTTACAGCTGCCATCCACCAAAGCATTGTCCCGGGGGCCAACTTCTGGCCACCGAATAATCCACCTGTCGAAATACCAAGAGCCGGAAATATCAAGGGAAAACCCAAAATGTGAGGAGGCCGCGGGCAGGAGAAGGAGGAAGAGAGGGGTCTCATCTCAGAGCTGAACCACGGAGGAAGACTGGCAAACTCAGAGGGGAGAGTCAGGCTAGTCGCCTGTGCAACCCCAGAAACCAGCAGGCCTTAAACCGCGGGGGAAAGACCTGTGGGCTGACCTGCTAACATACTGTCGATATCACACATAACTTAAGTTATGTACCTGATATCGGAGAATTGGATCAAAAACAACCATGTAATAAATACAATAATTGATAATAGCTTTATTTAGGGGCACCAGGGAATAACTCCCAACTGATAACGTGCATGACGTCACAATATCAATTAATTGGCTCATTTATTGATTAACTCATTGTGTCCCATTGACGCACAAATACGTCAAAGCAAATAGTAACATCGGTCCGTGTACGTCGCGGCCATTCTATTTTTGATTAGGAAAGAAAATACAAAAAACGAATATTGGCCGTTTCCCGTTTTCCCGTTTTCAAAATATAATGTAGAAAACGAGAATTTAATCCGTTTTTCGATTTTGTGTTTTAAAATTAAAAAACGGATAACGAAAAACAGGTCATAATCCGTTTTTCCATTACACATTTACACAAGAAACACCAACATCAAAAAACCACGGCAAAAATTTGATTTTCCATTCTTGATCTTATTTTGAAGCTGACCCGGAAGCTGTTGAGGCTTTCCCGCACAGTCAGAGTTTTCCAGTTTTTTGAATGATAATGGAGATACCAGAGTTGGAGAAAACTTTTGTTTTGTATCGAGACAGCAAACGGGTTACTTTTAAAGATGTCGACATGACATCTTTTAGATGTCATGATAGACATCTACTTTAGATATTAAAGTAGAAAATAAGACAAATTAGTTAGCCACTGTAACAGCTGACGTCTTCTCACAAAGTAGAGTGACTTCGGCCGCTTAGTGGCATAGTGGTAGGCATGGTTAACAGATTCCGGGTCAGCTTCAAAATAAGATCAAGAATGGAAAATCAAATTTTTGCCGTGGTTTTTCGATGTTGGTGTTTCTTGTGTAAATGTGTAATGGAAAAAACGGATTATGACCTGTTTTTCGTTATCCGTTTTTTAATTTTAAAACACAAAATCGAAAAAAAACGGATTAAATTCTCGTTTTCTACATTATATTTTGAAAACGGAAAACGGGAAACGGCCAATATTCGTTTTTTGTATTTTCTTTCCTAATCAAAAATAGAATGGCCGCGACGTACACGGACCAACATCGTGTGCCATTGACGTATTAATCCGTCATCCTTTTTCGCTATTTTCACGTTCCCAGATGTCTATTGTATCTAGTATGTATGGGGATGACTTGAGACCATATTTTATCGAGCCAGCAGGTGGCAGCATTGCTCTCTGAATGGTTTGAAAACATGTAGGTGCACATGTTGTGCCTCTTTTTTCTCAACTTTCTGGTGATTTCTGGTGATTTCAGTAAAACTTCCCTCTACTCAACGGAGGATTACAGGGAACGAAAAAAGCTATAAACAAAATTCTTTTTGCTGAGGAAAGTAGACAGTCCATTCTTTTAGAATCTGGTGTCGGATTTCAGATAGTCATAGTACACAATATTCTGTGGGTCTTGAAAAATCAGTAAAAATCATCATAAATGGCTGGCACTGTGGGAGTACCTTTTCTGAAATAGGCTGGCATTCAATGAGTTAAGTAATCTCATGAGTCCTTTCATTATTTAATTAGCTAATTAGTCCAATTCTCTTCAATAGAATCTGAAGGTAGTGAATTCTTTTACAAATCAGTGACCCAATTTCTGGAGTTAAAAGTACAAATATCACTTTGACAAAGATGGTTTTGTAGATTTAATGAAGTATACACAATACAGACTAGAAATGAAATATGCAAATTGTCAAGAATAACATGAAGGAAACGTTGATTTCAAGATATATATGCTAGGCTAAAGTGAGCTAAGCAAGACCTTTGTCTATGAATGGATTGGTATAGGCTGAGGCCTGCATGTGTTCAGCCTTGGTAAGAGAAGTATTCTTTGAAGTATAGGTTTTAATAAAGCCAACAACTGTGTGTAGCAAGAGAGCAGATCATACAACCAGAATAGCCTTTGGTGAATAGCAGTCCTTGGGTCTTGATGGTGTTGGATGGAGGCTTCTTGTCCACGGGGCCTGGACCATGCGGCTGCATCATGTGGCTGAACCAAGTCCTCCCACGATCCACAGTCTAGGTGCCAAAACTCAGCAACTTCTTCAGGTTGAAGCTGGAGGCTATTGAAGGGTTGTGGAAGTCCTCTCAAACGTGGAGCTGAGGTTTGAGGCCATCTAAGAGGCCCGAAGCCCCTTGGTTGCCTGAGCAGAGCCCAGGGCAGAGCCCAGGGAGGTCTGGTCACTCTATGGTTCCAAAGCAGACTGGTTTGTCTTCCCTGTGGGTCCTTGTAAGTTTTCACATCTGGTAGAGTCGTTGGGGGAAGGGTGTTGCTATGGCACTTATCTTAAGACATTCTTACCCACAATAAAACCTGAACCACAAGGATTTACACACAGTGGAGACAGAAGTTATAATATGTCTCAATATACAACAAAATGTCTGATTGAGGAAAGCGGTCAGTTTAATTTATCCTACATACTTATATATGTTAGTTGGGAGTAATAATAGATGAAGATCTGAGCTGGAAACCTCACATAAGTTACTTAAGGATAAAAGTTGCTCAGTGTGTGGGAATAATGAAAATTCACTGAATCAATACCAATGCTCTATTGTGTGGAAGTGTGGGGGAGTTTCTATGAATCTCACTCACAGCCCCTGATTATCTTACAAAAGAAGGCTTTAAGGATTGTGTCCAACGTCCACTTCAGACATCCTTCTAATCCTCTGTTTATAGAAAAACAAACACGACTGAAACTGCAGGATCGTCCTTAAAACTGTTCAGATAATGTTCAGGGCATCTGAAAACTCTCTAGCGTCCAATTTAAATAATCTTTTCAGCGATAGTCGCTCATCATGATTACAGAGTAAGAGGAAACAAACTATTCTATGTACCTACATTTAGGACTACGTTTAAAATCTGTGTGTGTTTTGGTCAAAGGCGTCACATTCGGAATGGATTAAAAGAAGAATTAAAAACATGCTCAAATATGACTGCATTTAATAAGACATTTAAAGAGAAAAGACTTAATGATGAAATATATGGACAAGAGATTGATGTCCTGGGCCTGGACAGAGCGGTGGGAGAGAGGTGTGTGGTCAGGGAGTGTTTGGGCCAGTGTCTGTGTGAGTGAGAGATCGAGTGTGCGTCTTGTCTTTGTGTGTCTTGTTTATTTATTTTGATATAATGATGTAACTGTACAGTGTTTGTGTAGTTTTCTGTTTTGTTGTATGTGTGAGAGGGGGTTGGAAATTTATAAGTATCTGCACCTTTTCAAAACTTGTGACATGTTTTTTTGTGGCAGTCAGAGTGGATTTTCAACTTTGGTTTGGTTACAACAACAAAAACGGATAAGAGTACCAACAACGCCACCCAGGGCCAGTACCTGGGAAAATGTGAGCTAATTGGATTAAACAAGCACACAGGGCCGTGGACATTGACATGACGTGAAACAGTGTTATAAATGTACAAAATATTTATTTTATTACAATGATTAAAATACTATAGGCCTATAGGAATGGATAAAAATGGTTAAACAGCATTAAATTGTACAGGTTGGACAAATTAAGCAAGCAAAATAATGCAACAAAAAAAAATAACTTGGGGTATGCAAATGAAATTAACGGTAAAACATGGGCGGCACGGTGGCTGAGTGTATAGCACTCTCGCCTCTCAGCAAGAAGGTCCTGGGTTCAAATCCTGGTCGGAACAGGGCCTTTCTGAGTGGAGTTTGCATGTTCTCCCTGTGTATGCGTAGGTTTCCTCCGGGTACTCTCCGGGTACTCTCCGGTTACCCCTACCACTAAAAATATGTACAATAGGTCTGGCATGCGTCATGCGGATTATTGGCTGGTCCCTAATGCAGCTCGGAGTCTGAAGCAACAGTGTTTGATGGTCAGCTTTGGCACAAGGCCAACCAATAAAGGATGGACAATGAGCAACTTACCAAGGAGGAGGACATGCACACACGCACAACCCAGACTGTGGCGCCCAAGCCCACAAGCGTTCTCCACAAAGGAGGCAGTCGGTCACCAAACGCCGTGACCACCGCACTCAAACAAAGACGTATGCGTGCTCGCGGCGCGTTTCCGTGTCTTTATGGGCACTGCTCGGTGACGCCCACCAATCAGCTCAGGGTAAGGTGTACACCGACATGCCACATTCTGCCCCCCCTTAATTTGTCGGTGCCCAGACGACACAACTAAAGACCTAAAACTCCCAATGAACACTAGACCAAAACAGCAACTGTGATATCCAGTCAGTCCCTGAGAGTGCGAGGGAGACGATAAGGGTTAGGATGACGTCCAGCAGTTGTCCTAGTGGTACGACGTAAGCCCTGTTCACTAGTGCTGGGTTCGAGCACTGCAGCAGCTGGGTCTCCTTGAGCCTCCACTGCTACGTCCCCTACTAAAACAGGAGCGGGTCCTCTGGAAGGACCATCACAGGGTGGCAAGTTGGATGTTTGAGGAACCAAATCTTCGCGTCTGGAGCACAGAAGCCAAGAACCACCAGGAGAAGAGCTGCTACTGGGAGTTTCAGGGAAAGAAAACTCTGGCATAGAGGCCTCCGGTGGGGGACAGGATTGTATATGAGGTTTAAGCATGTCCCTGTGCACAGTGTGCGAGGCTTGTAGATTGGTGACCGGGGCCACAGTGTAGGTTGGGCCATTTCCACCAGGTGCCTTCAGCCCCTGAAAGAGATTTTGGTGCCACAGGTCCTGGATCTTATGACACCCTTGTGCACTATGGTCTCGAAGGTAAACCAAGGAACCAACCTCTAGAGGTGCCTCCCTGACATGAACATCGTGCCTTTCTTTCCTCTTCTTCGCATTCAAAGCTAATCGCCTCTGCGCGCTTGCAAAAGCAACCTTGAGCCTGGAACAGTGTTCCAGCAACCAGTCCTGGACTGTGCCCACAACGGTATCCTGAATTTGACCCAGAAGAAAGTCAATTGGGAGTTTAGGATCTTGGCCAAACATCAACAAGTATGGTGACTCCTCGGTGCTCTGGTGAGGTGTGGTGTTATAAGAGTACAACACCTGTGGGAGACAGGAAGCCCAGTCCTGCTTGCGGGAGAATGGGAGGGTGCGGAGCAAATTATGAAGCATTCGGTTGAATCACCTTCCTCTTCTACTTCTTCTTCCCTTTCTTCCTCTTCTTCCTCTTCTTCCTCTTCTTCTTCCTTCTTCTTCCCCTCCTCTTCCTTCTTCATCCCTAACCCTTCCAACATCTATGCAGCCACTCACAATGGCTTCAGCCATTGTACCATTTCTAGTTAGATTCACTGTCCTTCACTTTTTTAATCATCATACCCCTGTTATGTGAATCCGTTTTTTTTCTGACTTCATTATACAGAATAAAATGGTATATTGATTTTTAATTTACGTAAGTGCTGCGTGCTGGCGCAAGCTCGAAGACGTATCAAGCTGAGGGGGATTTAAATGTTAAATCGTTGAATTTACAGAACATACAGCACCTTACAACACATTCAGAACCTTACAACACTTACAACACATTCAGCACCTTACAACACATTCAAAACCTTTCAGAACTTTACAACATCGAAAAACACATTCAGCACTTTACAACACATTCAGCACTTTACAACTCATTCAGCACTTTACAACTCATTCAGCCCCTTACAACACTTTTTGCACCTTACAACACATTCTTCTTTCTTCATCTTCTTCACTTCTTCCTCTTCTTCCCCTTATTCCTCTTCTTCCCCTTCTTCCCCTTCTTCCTCTTCTTCCCCTTCTTCCCCTTCTTCCTCTTCTTCCCCTTCTTCCTCTTCTTCCCCTTCTTCTTCTTCCTCCTCCTCTTCCTTCTTCATCCCTAACCCTTCCAACATCTATGCAGCCACTCACAATGGCTTCAGCCATTGTACCATTTCTAGTCTTCTTCTTCTTCTTCCGCCAGATTTTGGCACTTTTCAACTCTTCAACGCTTTCACCAAATTCAACAAATTATACATCGTTACGACCGGCTTCACCGTCTCATTATTGCTATTACTTTTCACACTTCCACCTTTTGCACGTTTTCAATTATTTACAAAAGTTCAAGCACTTTTTCCCATTGACTTACATTGGACCAGTACAACAGATTACTCCCCATACAACACATTACCACACTAACAATTCATTACCACAGATACAATACATTACAACATCTTACAACACTTACAGCACTTTACAACACATTCTTCTTTCTTCATCTTCTTCCTCCATCTTCTTCCTCCTTCTTCATTTTCTTCACCTTCTTCTTCATCTTCTTCACCTTCTCCCTTTTCTTCTTCTTCTTCACCTTCTTCTTTCTCATTCTTCATCTTCTTCCTCCTTCTTCACATTCTTCCTCCTTCTTCCTCTTCTTCTTCACCTTCTTCTTCCTTCCTCATCTTCTTCCTCCTTCTTCATCTTCTTCACCTTCTTCATCTTTTTCTCCTTCATCTTCTTCATCATCTTCTTCCTCTTCCTACTTTCTCTTTTTCTATTTTCTTCCTTCTTTCTCTTCTTCCCCTTCCTCTTCCTTCTTCATCCCTAACCCTTCCAACATCTATGCAGCCACTCACAATGGCTTCAGCCATTGTACCATTTCTAGTATTATATCGCTCTTACTCCCTGTCTAAACAGCTCTTATTTTGAAGGCGCTACAGGATGTAGTCATGTTGTTCTATCGCTAACTTCCTCTATGGCCTATGCTCCCTGTGCTGCCAAGTTGTTCAACAATAAATATTCCCAGACAAGAGGCTAAAGATACCAACGTGAGAGCATCGTTTATTCTCCACTAGCATCTGTCCCTAACAACGATCTTTGTGCTTCATAAAGTCAGCAGCTGATTGGAGCAGAGGGAACATCTGCATGATCCCCGTGTAGAGCTCCTTCTACCACCGCAGCTGCTCCTGCTCCGTGCGATCGGTGAGTGTGTGTTATGCTAGTGCTGTTAGCGTTAGCATTAGCCACAGGCCGCTAGCATCTTTTACCGTCTGTTCAATGGACATTCATTCATCTGTTTACTTTAACAGTAATATTAGCAGACTTCCTGGAGCACGTTCACCTCCTGTTTATATTGTTGTCTTTTATTCTTGAATGTTTGTCCTTTATTGTATAAATAACTGTGTAGCACTGAGTCCAAGACTATCTAGCCACACATTTACACACACAAACACACGCACATATTTACACAACTACATAACGTTTATACACACAAATGCATTTGTAATCATTTGCTTCAGATTAAGTAGTGTTGTCATAAACCAAGACCATGCTTCAAACGAGAGTCGTTTCTATTAAACAAATGTGTAAATATGAAGTGTGTGTCATAGAAGAGCAGACAGAAGCTCAGTGCCTTCAGAACATCCAGGCCGTCAGCGCAGTGGTCATTACACCTCAGACACAGCCAGATTAACGTGTGAGATTAATAAAGTATAAAGTACATTTTATCTTAGAAAAAATAAGAGCATACACAAATATAGGATTCACACAATCTGCGGTTTATAGAAATGAAAAATGTTGTTTTGTCTCATTGAAACATGTCAAAGTATGTATAAATCTATGTAATTCATACAAAGTGTAGTTTTACTCCAATGAAAAGAACCATGTACAGGACTGAAGACTCAGGAGAACAGCAACAACTTTATCCTTGAACATTCAGGACACAGGACCTTATCACAGAACAAGACTGAAGTGTTCTCTACATGAACGTACATCACTTACATTATTCAGATACAACAGACTATTGTCACAAAATCAGACATAATGGAATAACCTCAGAAAAAATAAAATAAAATGTGTACTGCTTGAGTTCAGTCCTTTTGCCTTCAAATTCCTTAACCAATATTCGTTTTTGTTTAGAAAAAAGGAGTTTGTCCAACATTCTCTGATGTTAAAGTTCTCATCAGACCCTCTCCTCTCTCTACTGTCTCCTTTACCTTCAAACTCTCTCACTACTGTGTCCTTTACCTTCAGACTGGATCCATCCATCCATCAGGGGTTGACAAAATATATCGTAGACAATATTATATGACTTAGACCGTACGCGCGCTCTGATTGGTTGATTTGCGGTCTGACATTTTCTCATTTCGGACCGTTACCATGACAATTGGTCCACAGCCGGTAACACACAAAACCAAGTCGGACATGAACATACTTCACAAATATCTCAAAAGCATTGGTAAAGACACAGACGAGAGTCATATAATAAAACATTTATTAACCTCGCTTTCTCGGTCTGTACAGAGAAATATCAGACCTTGGCCTTTTTGCACAGACCTCGCCATGGCTCGGTTTGTACATTTAGGCTGCGGTCTGATATTTCCCCATACAGACATCGTGCTCGGTTAATAAGTTGTTAATATCGTGAAAGTTAATTTGAAGATGTTCTTTGTTTTATTATCGTCCTTTTTATTTTTCAATACATATTACAATTAGAGAAGGAAAGATGCCTGTTTGTCTAATGTGTGCCTAAAAAGCCAATCACTGCTTTATTTGTACATTTCAGTAAACATCCACAAACAGTAGAGATGAAATCCTGTGGTCCCCGAACCGGACCCCCTCCAGCCCCCGAACCGGACCCCCTCCAGCCCCTGGCTGCGCCTAGAAACTCTGTCCATAAACACAGTGAACAGAACCGGTGACAAAGGGGCAGCCCTGGTGGGGGCCAACACCGGGAACAGGTCTGACTTATGCTGATGAACACAGCCCTGACTCCGGTCATACAGGGACCGGACGGCCCTCAGCAGAGGACCCCGGACCCCGTACTCCCGGAGAACCCCCCAAAGGACACCCCGGGGAACACGGTCAAACGCCTTCTCCAAATCCACAAAGCAGATGTGGACCAAGCCCCGGCAATCCAAGATGGCGCCGTATTCAAATGAATGGTTGTGCTCAGTGGCGCTTTGTGACGGCATGGGTGCCGAAAAGATTAGCGGAAGTCGCCTGGAATTCGTAAAAATCCATGGGAAACTCGCAAAGACCCATGGGAAACTATGGCCTGTATTTGGGCATCGTCTGGTCCTCCCATTTCTGCGCTGTGGATGATCTCCCATAATGCGTTGCGCCAAACACACGTGTGTGGGTCTCACACCGGGTCTCACGCACGTGCACAGAGGGGCTCGGCCGCGCTCCGACCAATCAGAGCAATTCATCAGAGCGGGAGTTAGAGCGAGAGCCAGACGAGCAGAGTTTGTGGCACTAAAGTGTGGATTTAAAGAAAACTGAAGGATTTAAGAAGAAAAAAAGTTCAGGATGACAAGGGACACTAAAATCCCCACAAAATCCGACCTTTATGAAAGCTGTAGGGTCTCAGTCAGCTGAGGTCGAGCTGTTTTAGTTCATATTGACAAATTTCTGGGTAGCCCACGTGAATTTCGTCTGGTCTAGACTGCAGTACTGGGAGAATCCCCCGAGCACATGGGTTATTCAGCTCCAAGCTAGTAATACCCTATCCAGTTATTTTACTAGATCGATGATGTAGACAGGTTGGGCGAACTCCCATGAACCCTCGAGTATCCGATGGAGAATAAAGAGCTGGTCCAGTGTTCCGCGGCCGGGATGAAAACCACACTGCTCCTCCTGAATCCGAGATTCGACTATCGGTCGAACTCTCCTCTCCAGTACCTTGGAGTAGACCTTACCGGGGAGGCTGAGGAGTGTGATCCCACAATAATTGGAACACACCCTCCGGTTCCCCTTCTTGTAGAGAGGGACCACCACCCCGGTCTGCCACTCCTTTGGCACCGCCCCCGATCGCCACGCGATGTTGCAGAGACGTGTCAGCCAAGACAGTCCTACAACATCCAGAGACTTTAGATAGTCAGGACGGATCTCATCCACTCCTGGAGCCTTGCCACCATGGAGGCTGCCAACCACCTTGGTGACCTCAGCCAGGGAGATGGAAGTATCCGCCCCAACATCCTCTGCCTCCGGGACGAAGAACCTGACGGGGGGATTGAGGAGAGCCTCAAAACCCGACAATATCCCCAGTCGAGGTCAGCAGCCCTCCACCAGCACCGTTCACGGTGTTGGCAAAGAATCGCTTCCCCCTCCTGAGGCGCCGGACGGTTTGCCAGAATTTCTTCGAGGCCGACCGATAGTCTTGCTCCATGGACTCTCCAAACTCCTCCCAGTCTGGGGTTTTTGCCTCTGCAACAGCCCGGGCCGCAGCCGCAGCCAGTACTGGACAGCTGCTCCAGGAGTCCCACGAACAATCATGGCTCGATAGCCTGACTGCATCCCTTACTGTCGGTGTATCGTAGCTCTGCAATGCTGGCACGGTCGCTCTCGCGGAGCTCGAAGGTGAGGCGACTAATATTGTGCACGTTTGAGCTAATAGAATTGTCACTTTCTATGTCCTCGTATCGTTAGCTTGACCCTTTAATGTTTCTTTGTATATTTTTGGATGCACCGATCCAGCTCTCCCTCCCTGTATAACGCAGGACTAGAATCTATACAGTGCTGTTTGGCCTCATACACATGCCCAGAGTAGTTTTTTATTATTGATTCTTTCAAGCTTTAAATAGAGAGCAATATATCCCTTTCTTGAGAGGCACAGAAACGAGCTGTTTCACAATCCGTGATGTCAAAAGCCCGCATCCAAGAGGTGATTGACAGAGGGGAGAAACTGAACCAGCGAATCAGCGCCGTCTATGGTCAGCTGCAGCCTCTCTGAGTCCAGCGTGTGGTCCATAGACTGTAAATAAGCCTCTGTGCTTTTCTGCATTAGCTTCATGTGACTTGGAGAAAATGTGTTGTTGGTGTAAATATGTGACGAGAGTCGACTTTGTTCAAAGGGATCTGCCTCGAAAACGTGAGTCTGAAATCTGCTACAAAACTGGATGTTTTTTTTTTTTTGCGAGTGTCACTATGAACTAAATAATGAGGTCTCATTCTGGATCAAGGAGCGGTAAGGTGACAGATGATCGTTGGAAAAAGTTTATTCTCAGGTTTGACATTACTATGCAACAGCGAAACCTATAGTTAGCTTTTGTTTACTTCAAAGTGTGATGCTGCGTTGGTCGGGGGGAGGCGGGCTCACAGAGGAGCACAAATCAGCTCGTTTCACAGGAGGTGACATCACCTCTGCACAAAATGGCTGTAGTAAGTTAATATCACACACATGGACTGTGAAAAATGAAGAAAAACTGTCAATCCTGTCACTCTCCCAGTGTTATTGGTCCTCTGTCTTTAATTATGCAATCCAATTATTTTCACACACAATACATTTTAAATTTGTAGAAACATTCTCCTAAATAACTTTTAATAAGCTACAGAGCTGATTGTATAAAACCTAAACAATTTTACGACCTACGGTACAAAATCCTCTATTTTGGATCATTTTAGTTTCTCCGTGTGTCTCTGTGTTTGTGGTTTCCTCCTTTTCAGAAGATCAGGCTCGTGAGTAAACATAAATATTATTTATTTAATTTGACAGTAACAGAATTAGTTTGAAAAATGGGGCAAACAAAGTTCAACATTGTTTGTGTGCGTGTCTTTGCCCATTTCTCACTTCTAACTCCATGAGTGGAGGTACAAGGCGACAGTAGCTCAGTTGGTAGAGCATTGGCCTTTGAGCCAGAGGGTCGTGGGTTCGAGCCTGACTTTCACCATTGACTCCCAATTACTACTGTCGTGTCCTTGGCAAGACCTCTGGGAACACCAGCCACAGTGGGGTGGCTGCGGCTGTAAAGTGCTAAACTGCCGATGTGTCCTTAGGCAAGACACTTCACCCCATTGCCTAGAATGAGTCTGGTGTGTGTGTGTGTGAATGGTTGGTGGTGGTCGGAGGGGCTTCTGTCAGTGTGCCCCAGGGCAGCTGTGGCTACAGTAGTAGTTTATCACCACCGTGTATGGAGTGAAGGAAATAATGACATGTAAAGCGTCTTTAAGTGTCCAAAAAGCGCTTTATAAACCCATGCATTATTATTATTATGAGTAAAAAATATATTATTATTCTGACAATTCTTTGTTGTGTTTTTTGCAGATCTACAAAGTCCATCTACAGAATGGGGTTCACCTGTGATCAGTGTGGAAAGACCTGCAGCTGTGCTTCTGATCTAAAGAGACACTACAGAACTCACACTGGAGAAAAGCCATACGTGTGTGATCAGTGTGGAACAGGTTTTACTACGAAAGGAAATCTCCAGGTCCACAGCAGAATCCACACAGGAGAAAAGCCTTTCAGCTGTGATTTTTGTGATCAGTGTTTTAGACAAGAGGGAACTCTCAAAAATCATCAGAGGATCCACACAGGAGAGAAACCATTTAAGTGTGACGAGTGTGGAAAAACATTTAGGAAAAAACAGCTGCTCTCACTACATCAACATGTCCACACAGGAGAGAGACCTCACCAATGTGACCAGTGTGAAAAGACTTTTACACAATTATCTGACCTCACTCGTCACTATAGAATCCACATTGGAGAAAAATCATTCGTCTGTGGAGAATGTGGGAAGGAGTTTAGTCGCTTTTCACACTACAAAACACATGAGAGAATTCACACACGAGAAAAACCATTTGCATGTGACCTCTGCAGTAAAACTTTTAGAACAGCATCAGATCGCACACGTCACCATCGGAGCCACACTGGAGAGAAGCCGTACAAGTGTGACCAGTGTGGAACAGGTTTTACCACAGGAGGAAGTCTTAGGAGTCACAAAAGCATTCACACCGGAGAAAAACCCTTCAATTGTGACGTTTGTGATCAGAGTTTTAGACAAGCGCGTTATCTCAAAGTTCATCAGAGGATCCACACTGGAGAGAAACAATTTGTCTGTTAAAAGTGTGGAAAGTCTTTTACTCGTGGGTCAGCTTCCTGCTCTTGTACAGTGCGGTCGCATTCTCTCGCTGCTCCTCGCTTGCTGCTTTTTAATCTTCTCTAATAATTTTTGTTGACCTTTTTATTTGACAAAACACGGATTACTCTTTTTTTTTTTTTTTTTTTTTACAAACTTCAATACTTCCACTTGTGGAATTTACCAACTTGCAGCATGTCTGGAGGACAGAAAAAAATAACTTTGCGACGGCTGTTGGTCACTCAAACAGGAGTTAACCCTTTAGGCGCCAGAGTTTTTTCAAGAAAATATACAATTTTGATTTCAAGATTTCAAAAGGCTATAACTTTAAAATGGTTTGAGATAAAGGCATACTGTAAATTAGAAATATCTTCAGTCTGAACCAAACTTTGGGATGGAAGTTGATTCGTCATCTAATTTGCATATTCTGACGTCATCAAGGTGGCGGCCATTTTGGAAAATGTTAATTATTCTATAAAGACTTCAAAAAGCTGTAGCTTGGGAGTTATTTGAGATCAGGGAATACTATAAACAGTAAATGTGAAATATATCTTTAGTATGAAATGAATTTGGGATAGAAATAAATTCCCTGATCCAGATTATAGATAATGTTTTAGCACTGGTTCGCAGCCATATGGAATTTTATTATTTTCAAAGATCTTCAGTGATCAAGACTGCACTCTTTATAGTTTACAGTCATGAAATCTGGAGATTGGTTTCAATATTTCCCTTTCAAAGAAGTAGTGGGCATACTATTTTTCTCAGTGGAAATGAGGCTCCAGGATTTATCGTGTAGAAACAGAGAGATGAAATGAATGGGCACAGAACATGTCAGAGCGTCTCAACAAGAAACAACGGGCTCTTCAACACTTCTGATCCACTTTTGTGGATTATTTTCTCTCAAGAACTGCCTTCATCCTCATCATCACTGTTGGTAAAGGCAGTGAACGCGATTAGCAATGGGCTTTTTCCCGCGGCTTCTCCCGCGTCTCCCGCGATCCCCGCGGATGTCTACCCCGGCTACTTTCTCCCACATGCCCGGTGTTATGATCCCCCTGTCCACTCGAACACGGTCCCTGCTTGGCGTTCACAGAATGCTTCTACCGTGGCCACACGGAGGACAAGCAGCCGATGTACTAGGGCTGATTGTGGACTATGGAGCGCGGTCTCCCCGTCACCAATAATGTCCGTGTCTGCTTCACTGGACACCTGCGTGTCTTCCTCCTCTGAATCTGAGTGAGTCAGTACCAGACCAAGTACTTCTCTGGTACTGAAGACCTCGTGAGTAAATAAAAAACACTCTCTCCCTCTGCTCTGCTCTCGCTCCTCTCAGCTCTACCGCTGCTGCTTCGCCTCCGCGCTGCTGCGCCGCAGGTGTTTTACGAACTCAATTTACTCAAACTTTCAATATAACCACACCCACAAATGTTGCTCATATTACAGGCACACATGTCCACTAACCCCTGGTGAAAAGTATTAACAAGATTCTGCACCACATTTTTACATACAGCCTGTTTAAGTGAGCAATGTTGCTTGTCGCAATATTGCGACTTTGGCGCTTAAAGGGTTAAAACTTCAAGACCGAATGTTTGTCCTTGAATCAGTAATGGGGCTCAACACAACAATACCAGTGAAGGGGAATGGACAAATGGACAAAACGTAAGTCATGACAATGTTATTTCATTACCCAAAATCAACAGAGACAATTGTTGGAACACGTATGGTGCCAAGCCCAAATAAGGCAAAGCTAATGATAACAGGAGTGTAATAATGCCACAGCGAAAACCTGTAAATACAAGAAATCGCTTTTCACCGCTATTGGACGTTGAAACAGTGGCCGATTGTTGATCAACGAGGGGCCAGTAGACATCTATGAGATGACAAGTGAAAAGTTCAAAAATTGACTTACATTTTTTTATTAGTGGACAGAAAGCAAATTAAATTCAGTCGTCTGTATCAGCTAAATATTTTTCTACTCAACGAATGTTCACGCAGACAAAGGAGTAAAAGTGTTGATGGATAACCTTTCTTTTGCCCTGAGACCTCAGCCTGTGCAGCTGTCGAAAGGGAGAAAGAAGCAAAGTGCTTTTCCGGCAACACAAACTTCTCCACCGGCTCCAAAGGTCTCAGCACCACCACCGCCTCCACTACCTCGAAGGATTTCAACACCTCCACCGTCATCAGCAGCAGCTACATCATCACCAGTAGCACCACGACCACCACCACCAACATCCTCATCCCCAGCCCGCTCCGAAGCAATCACACCTTCTCCACCTAATGCTCCTCTGAAGCCCCCATCCTCACCCCAGGCTACAGCAGACAGGCCTGTGCGGGGGTTTCCTCAACCACCTGCCCCTCCAGCAAAGGCTCCCTCGTCACCTCTCATGGACCTTTCTTGGGTCCCCCCTGCCACGTCCACTCCATCAAGAGAGAATGGGGACACCTTCCTTTGTTTTCCATCCCCGCCTTCACTGTTAGACCTACCTGAACACTCTGCAGGCCTAATAAAATCGGCTATGAAGACCATTCCTCTCACACCCATATTAGCTCGATCTAGAGTCCTGTCCAACATTCAAAACCACTGCCCATATGTACCTCCAAAGCCACCTAGGGTTTCCAATTCTCCTGATTCACCTACAAAAACCACCTCAGCTCGTCCCTCCCCAAACCCATAACCAACCCACAACCTTCTGGCTCAAAGGCCAACTGAGCTACTGTCGCCGCAAGTGTAGTTAGAAACTGACAGCTGTTAAAAAAAACGTATCTGTGCTAGGGTTGGGCGATATGGGCCTCAGCATGTATCACAATTTTTGTTGGTATGTATCACGATATGACGATATGATAATTTTAACAAAGCCTCATATAAAAGCTATAAAAACTTAGCACTGATAATTTTAAACACACTTGCCTCAAAGTGCATTTACCGATTTATTGGCAGCAAAATGTGCAATACAGCTATTGTATATAAAACGTATTAACAAAACTGAATTGAAGATAATTCTGTTTTGTACATACTGAAAATTGCAGGCAACATGTAATAAAGCCTCAGTGTGTTAAGGCCTTCATTGGCCCATCACTAATAAATATATAAAAGCACAAATTAAACATTTTCAGATGATATGAAGCAAGTTTGAATGAAGTGGATTATTTCTGAAATAACACATTATTGTGTTGGTGAATTCCAATAGGACTGACAGGCAAACATGGACAGTTTGACACAATTCCCAATAGAGGTGCACCGATCGCTCGGCAGCCGATTTAAAATCGGCCGATCACGGCTTAATTCACGTGATTGGAGTTCTGATTCGTCTAAGCTCGCTCTATGTATTAGACAGATGTTTTGTGAGCAAATATATTTCTCCTGTACTGCTCATCAGAAACCACAAGCTGAAAGTCCCGTGTCTAGTACCTCTGTTAAAAAAGGGGTTTTATCCTGCTTCTTCTTCTATTATCCGGCAATGTTGAGCTTAATCCTGGCCCTTTGTCAAATCAAATTGAGACCCCTGAGGATTTTCAAAACAGATCTGGTCTTGGTATTTTGCACATGAATGTCAGAAGCCTGCTACCCAAAATGGACTTGATTAAAATCTGGATTAAATCCACAAACACTGATATTCTTGTGTTATCTGAAACATGGCTCAATAAATCAGTATCTGATTCAGATATTTTTTTATCAGGTTATAACTTGTTTCGTTGTGATCGTGCCAAGAAAAGTGGGGGGGGGGGGAGCAATCTTTGTGAAAAACAAATATGCTGTCACCACATTAGCTTCAGTGTCAGTGCAAAAGCAATATGAACTACTTGCCTTGAAACTTAAATTTTCAAAAGGGCAGTCACAAACAATTGTTGGTTGTTATAGGCCTCAACCAGTTTGCAGTGATGCCATCACATCACTGTACCAGCAGTTGCTTGATTTGAATGCAAATGAGCTGGTTCTTGTCAGTGATCTAAACCAGGACTGGATGACTACAGCATCAGTCAATTTAAAATCGCTCTGTGATTCATTAAAGGAACAATATGTAATAAAAATCTGGCCAAAAGTGGTACTGCAGTCACAGTCAATATTTTGCAGTCCTCTCCCACTCTCCCTGACTCAGGTTGCCAGATACACACCAAATCCAGCAGCAAACACAGGGAATTATTTTATCAGATGTTTGTCTCCATTCACATTGCCATGAGGCATGCTAATGTTGAATGAATGTTGAATTTTTCTTTTTTCTTTTTTTTG